AAAAAATATTTGTAGAAAACAGTTTTTTTCTTTTACAAAAAAATTTTCTTGCAACAATAATGGAAGAAAAGTCACTCCATAGCTTAAGGAGAGTTGGTTAAATCAAATATCTGCTCCCAGTAGAAATCATCTGCGATGAGCTCATCCTGCATAGGAGCCACATGTCAGACGTGAAAACGAGCTGGAAAAAAAAGCAGGCTACTGATAACGACGAGCCGACCGCCTGAGAGCAACATGGCTGCCATCAAAACAAGTGTCAATAAAAGCCGAGTCACACAGCTGCTGAGCAGATGCTGCCTGAGCAACAGTGCTGCCCCTTGTTCCAGATTGTTCCAGTTAGGACTGGCCTTCAAAATACAAACACAAAGTTTTACGGATGAAAGAGTAAATAAAAGAAAGTTACCATGATAGAAAATATGGATCATGAGATGAGACAATACAAAGGATGAATATTATTTTTCTTATGTTTTTTACTCATCTAATATCAAACATTTCTGAATCCCAAACAGCATTTTAACCTGTAACCAGATTAGATTTAATGTTTAATTTCACTTTAAGATTTTCCAAGGAAAGGAAGACTCTGAAATTCTTTTTTGTGTGAAATCTTTGTCCAAACGGTGACGTTAAAATAAAGCAGAGGGAGATAACTTCTCTAAACTGGTCAGAGCGCTGCTATTTTTAGTTTTCCTGTTTTGCCAGTGTAGCTGTGGGAATAGATGTCCCAACGCGAGATAAGCAGCTTTGCTTTCACAGTCAGACCCTTATGACTGTTGCCTTGGTACTTTTATATGGAACTATTGAAAATAATTTTGACGTAAAATCGAATACAGCGACCATGGAGAAGGAAAGTGAGGTGAGAAAGAAGGAAGATATAAGAACTGAGGGGAGAGAGAAAAAGAGACAAAAGAGAGAAAATAAATCAAAACAGCACAAATAGACCATCCAGAATATATACAGTAACTCCTAGAAGTCTGTTTCCACACCTGTATGAGCGAGAGGAACAGGAAACGGAGAACATTACAGCAAAAAGCAGAGAACAGAAGTAAACATAACAAAAAAAATGCTATAAGCAGGTATCCTTTAGATATCTGTGTGTGGAAGGTAGAAGGAGATTACGCAACATTATTCTGGGTGGTGTTTATCTGTAGAAGCAGCTTAGTTTTAGTATTAATATTAGAAAGTATCCATGAACACCTGGTATCAAACTCCTGTGGTCTTGTATGAAAGTATGGGCAATCTCATGTATAAAGGATTTACAAAGCTTCTTCAGAAGGAAAATATGCATAATAGCAGGTGTGGGTGGCCCCAGACTCGCCCTACGGGATCCTGGCCCCAGATAACTAGAGGAAACCCTGATCACCAGGAGACAAGGCGGGCCGACAGAGATGGCCACACCCACCAGAAAAGGGCAGAAGAGCGCCCTCTATTGACCAGCCACAACTGCTTGCATCCCTGGTCCTAACAATTCGAGTGAGTTGGTGAAATTCTGGATAACTTTTGTCTGAATATTTTGTCTCACAGCTTTTAAGCCGTTTTAGTCAATTAGAAGTAAGAAAAAGCTGCTGAAAACAGAGATTCCTGTTATATAAGAAGTAAACAGAAACGTTTCTTTTTTATTTACTCTGGAAGGTTTTCATTAGATCAATCTGGACATGCTGTGCAAAGCCTGATCACACCTTATAAGGCAGAAAGAAAACCAGAATAGAGGTTTGATGATGATGATGATGATGATGATGATGATGATGATGATGATGATGATGATGATGAGGGTCTGATTGAAGCAGCTCATCAAACATTATTAGAGACAGCATTTGATTTCCTGAGAGACTGGCTGAAGATAGAGTGGGATTTAATAGAACATGGAGAGCAGAAGCTTTGGTCATCATGTAGCACGTTTCTTGCTTTTCACACAGTCTTCCTAAAGCTCAGCAAAAGGGACAGACAGTGGGTGACCATTCTGGCTGCTGATGGCAATTAGCAAGCTGACCTTTTATCCATGGAGCTTTGGTTCCAACAAGATCTAAGTAGGTCAGTTACTGCTTGGTCCTGGAGGCTCATTGATCCCTAAACCGCTAGCAGGCCTTCACAAATCTGTCAAGATTAACAACAATTTTATGGCAATTCAAAACAAGGCAAGTAAGATTTAACAGAGAAGTCTCTCAAACCGTCCCAGATAAAAGGGAAAACTGCAGCGTATGAAATAATCTCCAGTGCAGCTCTTTGTGTTTGCTTTATTTCTTTCCCCATAAACCGCCACCAGCGGCGTCCATCTCAACGCCGGCTAGCAGATGGGTAACCAGACGGTTCTGTGAGGTAGAGCTGAGGCTGCTGACGATACTTGAAGTCTAGACACACAAACATGTTTCTGGAAATTCAGTTTGAAATACATCTAGTCTGATTTTGAACTGCTTATTATTTTAGCCAAGTAGGTTAATGTCTGAGGAAGAATCACTTTGACTGTGTCTGCCTTTACAAAGGTAGGTATCATTAAATCATTTGAAGGAAAATTTGTTTTAGGTGCTTTTAGAAACTAGCGTAAAGGAAATACTTTTTAGAAGATAAATAAGCCAAATCTTACTGCTAGAACTACAACAAACGGGTATAGATTAAAAGCACATCCATGTATTAGTTGTCTGAGATGGAGTCCGTGTGAAACAACGATATTTTACTGATGTTAGACATTTCATTTTAGGCAAGTCCAGGCTTGTGAGAAAGATTACTGTGAGCTCATGGGTTTGGGTTATTCTGCTGAACCCATTATTCCTCTTCATTATTCAGGCTCATATAACAATAGGATACACTTGAATAGGAAACATCTGTTATCAGCAGGTTAGCATCTTTGTGACACACAGAGTTTATGTTAGGTTGATTTACTAAGGAGGGACTTGGAGGACATGCAGGTGGTCGGGGCTCTTGGACTGGCTGTGTGTTGTATCAATCTGATTAGCGATGCACGATATTGGGATTTTGGCCGATATCCGATATCCGATATTTTAAAACTCATGTAGCCGATAACCGATATTGATACCGATGTTAAAGCTGGACAAAAATAAGTAGTCATTGAAAATAGCAGTTTTGTTATCAATTTCTGACACTTTGAAAAATAATATACTCAAATATATTTTCATTTGCTGATATCAAATTGATTTTTAAAAACGCGGTATCGATCTATTTTACTTTCAGAATCTCGTGAAATTTCATCGTTCTGTTACAAACTCTCGTGATATTTTGCAAATTCTTGTGAGATTTTGTTAGTAAAATAGATCGATACAGCGTCAATATATCAACATATAAAAATATGGCAACATTTGGTGAATTTTCGGGGGATTTCGTAGCATAACGATGACATATAGCAATATTTCATTAGTAAAAGAGATTGATATGGTGTTTTTAAATGGCAATATATCAGCATAGGAAGATATTGGGATATTTTAATGTATCAATATTTTTTCCCTCGTCTTTAGAAGTTTTTAAGTCTGTAAAAAATAAGTTTTTTAAGGAAGAAGTAGTAGTATTTTATTTTTTTTTTGGACTTTAGAAACTCAGTAGCTGATCAAATATCGGGTTAAATATCGGTGGGGTGGCCGATGTCCGATATTCAGTTTTAAGGCCGATACCGATAGGGGGCCGATTATATCGTGCATCCCTAAATCTGATCCTATGCCATTTTAACACAACTTGTTAGCTTAAGGTGTTAAATTCTATTTCTATTCTCATATGATTGTTAAATCTTTTAATGTGGATCTGCTGCAGGAATTAAAGTACCAGTAAGAGTTTGAGGGATTTAAGGGTTTAAAAATAATTACAATGTGTCAGATTGTGTGGAGGTTTGAAGAGGACCCAAATGCAGAGACGGAAGCTAAAGTGGTTTCTTGCAGATTTAATAATCCAAAATGGAGCAACTGAGGAAAATATCCCAAAAAATAACAAAATACAGAAAACCAAAAACCAGAAGTCAGGTAAAACACACATGAGGAGCAAAGAAACGACGAGAAACGAGCACTGAGGGAATGCACAGGAAAAGTATAAACGGGAGACTGAACTAAGGCTATGTTCACACTGCTCAATTCCGATTTTTTTTGTGAAATCCGATTTTTTTTGTGAAATGCGATTTTTTTGCGTTGCCGTTCATATTTGCCAATATATGTGACTTGCATGTGATCTCCTGTGTGAACTGCAGTCATACAACGCAAGCGTCCCGCATGCGCAGTACCGGACGCAATGACATCACAGGCCAGCGTGCTCTTTTTACGGAAGTTAACATGGATGTAAGCGCCGGCGCGCTTCTAGCGGTCTTTTCCAACCATAAAAACTCAATCTTTTCAATATGTTTAAACATAAATACTGCTCTCCGCATCATCATCTGCCATGGTTGTTGTTTGTTTTGCCGCTTCTGCGTAGCAAGACGCAGAATAGTGACCTTTGTCGGGTATTAATGACGTTGTGGCCTTTCAGACACAGGTCGCAGTTGAAAAGATCAGATTCGTATCGATTCAGAACCACATAGCCAAGTGACCTGGGTCGCATTGGAAAAAATCGGACCTTTTTTGTTCAGAGTGTCATGAAAAGATCAGATCCAGGTCGCATATAGGCAAAAAATCGGATTTGGGTCACTTCAGTCTGCAGTGTGAACGTAGCAAAAGGCTGGGCTAATCAGCTGATTGGGAGCAGGTGTGGATAGAAGTAACTAGAAGGGAGCAAGGAGAAAGACTGGCACAAGAGGGCAGCAGAGAGTAACACAAAAAACACAGCACAGCTTAAATATAACGAGAAACAACTAGAATGTCAGAAAACAAAGAAAACAAGAATAAAAACAATGTAAATGAAAACAAACAAGAAAATGTAAACAGAACCAAAAAGTCCCCAAAGGGCAAAATCATGACACAATGAGTTTAAGTCAATTTGAAAGAAAAAGGAAACAATTTTAGCCTCTAAATATACAAATAACTGGTGAAATAACCCAAAAAAACCTCACAGATAAACAATGTGACATACTCTACCTGCTCAACTCGAATCTCATACTCGCCGTTCAGCTTCTTCCCCCGAAAATACTTGGCCCTGGATGAAGGAATCACAGATAAAAGGATTATTAAAAAAAGAAGGATTTACTTACACATGAAATATAGTATTTACAGATATTGACATTTTTTTCCTTACTGTAGGAAATTATGAACTTTTCAATGACGGGACTTGTTTTTTAGAGAAATTAAACTGCTTAAAATTTTATATACTTTTTTCATAGAACTACTTTTTAAATTGTATGACTTGAAAGCGTTTACAGTCTACTTTCAAAGACTTCTCATGAGTTTGCTGGAGTTTGGGCTCATTCCTCCGGTTTGAAGTCATTCTTACTCAAAAACTACTTTCAGCTTTTTTCATAAATTTCATGGACCAGCCAAGGACCAGCCAAGGACCAGCCAAGGACCAACCAAGGACCAGCCAAGGACCAGCCAAGGACCAACCAAGGACCAACCAAGGACCAGCCAAGTACCAACCAAGGACCAGCCAAGGACCAACCAAGGACCAGCCAAGGACCAACCAAGGACCAGCCAAGGACCAACCAAGGACCAGCCAAGGACCAACCAAGGACCAGCCAAGGACCAGCCAAGGACCAACCAAGGACCAACCAAGGACCAGCTAAGGACCAGCTAAGGACCAACCAAGGACCAGCTAAGGACCAGCTAAGGACCAACCAAGGACAAACCAAGGACCAGCTAAGGACCAACCAAGGACCAACCAAGGAGCAGCCAAGGACCAGCCAAGGACCAACCAAGGACCAACCAAGGACCAGCCAAGGACCAGCCAAGGACCAACCAAGGACCAACCAAGGACCAGCTAAGGACCAACCACGAACCACCCAAGGACCAGCTAAGGACCAGCTAAGGACCAACCAAGAACCAACCAAGGACCAACCAAGGACCAACCAAGGACCAACCAAGGACCAACCAAGGACCAGCCAAGGACCAGCTAAGGACCAACCAAGAACCAACCAAGGACCAACCAAGGACCAGCTAAGGACCAACCAAGAACCAACCAAGGACCAACCAAGGACCAACCAAGGACCAGCCAAGGGACCAGCCAAGGGACCAGCCAAGGACCCTTCAAGGACAGTGGGAACATTTTAAATGTATCTCTTTGGTTAAGGAAGGCTCTACTGTTGGTGTTTCAGCATCTGCTCCGATTCTTTAACAAGTTAAAAAATCCTCCCTGTCATTTAAAAATAACGCCGTAAAGCTTCTCTGGTATTTAAAGTTATTTAAAGTTAAAGTTTCTCCCTTCTGCTTACTCATTATGTCTTTTTTGCTTATGTTTGAAGTCCAGCTTTTCCATGTGGCTTGGAGGTGAACTTTGACCTTTGGCATTCGCAGGGCGGTTAACAATCTGTCACATCCTTGGGGCGGAAATGTTGAGGTGCTGGTTATTTAGGTTAGAAGCCTTTGGGTGCTACGGCAGCCTGTTTAGCCTGCTTTATCTAATGAAACATTTCACTTCTATTTAACAACATTTTTACAGACCTTAAGACGCCGTGTCCTGCAAACTTTCCTGATTCTTCTAAAATCCTTCCTCAGGCTAGAGGTGGGCGGATCGATCCCAGGATCGATACTATCGATACCAACGCTGGTATTTATATTGAACAATATTCGTTTAACAAGATCGATACTTTTTATCCTCTCTCGCGCGCGCTGACTGCTGCGGAGTCACCAGTTTCCCCATATGTGTAACAGCACTTTGCTCCCCCTCCCCTCTCCTACAGTCACATGGCTCAGCGGCGCCAGCCAATCAGCGCGCAGGCTTAGCTTGGCCTGCCCACTCAGCACTACGTCACACAGACAACCGCGCTGCCGGTTGCTGGGTGAGTGCTCACTCAGACTTGGATGGAGAGAGAGACCAAAGACCCGCCTCCAGCCTCAGACAGACATCTTTGACCCAAGCGTTTCAGTCCTCCAGAGAATATCCAGGTAGATAACAGTGGTCATCGTCTGCAGCACTTCATTATACATCATATATTACTCAGAAAGTGTAGTTAAGACCTTGAAAAAAACCCAGTACATTTATCCCATTAAAAATTGTTAGCTAAAATAAGCTAACATTAGATAATCTCTTATTTATTCCACGATTGAGAACTTTATAGAAAAAAAGCAACAGGCAAGTGCAGCTTAAATGTAAAAAGTATCGGTATCGGTATCGATATCGGCGATACTGACCCAGTATTTACTTGGTATCGGATCGATTAAAAAATCCCGGTATCGCCCACCTCTACCTCAGGCGCCTCTACCTAAAGCTCTTTTCTTTCGTCTTCTGCAGTAGGTAATTATTTAACCGTTTATGAAGCCACACATCATCATTGGTCAGTGCCTCCTTTAAGAGGCTATAATGCAGTTCCAGTATGGAGTCAATTTTGTACATATTTTGTTAATTGAAATATGAAAAAAAATGCAATTCAGAATTGATTCAATCAAAGGAATATTTGGAGAAATTTATCCAAATTTTAACTTTTCAAAGGATTCATTTTGCTGATTCTTTCTGAACATCTTTTTACAGATTTTATATTTTCACATTTTTTAAAGTGTTTTTCAGATTGAAATTTACAATTTTCATTCTTTTCACATTTTTACAGATCACATTCTCTTCATTTGTGGAGCAAATAAGCAGAACATATTTCTATTGGTCGGCTGGATGTTAGGAACATTTTATTGGTCAATGTCGCGTCAGGAGTGAGTTTTCATTTGGCTCGAAGTGAAAGAAAGAAATCTGGAAACCAAAACGGCTATTGGAAAAAAAAAAATTTAAAAAAGGAAAGTATAAAATCTGTAAAAAGTATATATATATATAAATTTGAATATAAAAAAACTGTGGAAGTTTTTTTTATTTTTTATTTACAAAATGTGGGGGAAAAAAATAAAATGAATTAAAATAAAATCTGAAAACAGCAAAGCTATTCTCAAAAACACTTTAAAGGAATAGTACACCCAAAACATGATTAGCCTTCATTTTCTACTCACCCCCATGCTGAACAACACTCTGGAGTACTTTTTTGATATCTCAAATGCATCTGGAGATCTGGGAGGCTTCTTGCTGTCTGCTGACATTCAAATAATGGAGGTCTGTGGCGCCCGAGGCAGAAAGGTCCATAAAAGTCCACAAAAAACGTGTCAATATTCCGCCATACTGCTCGTTCAATGTATTCCAAGTGTCCTGAGTGGGTAGCATCCAGAATTTACTTGAAACAAAGTCATTTAGAATGTTTTTAGAGCATAAACAGTAGTGTATAGGATTTCCTAAAAGCGCGTTCACGAGTCTACGGAAACCGCGGCAGACCAAACCAGATGAAAGTGTGCATTCAGCGTTTGCTCTGCCGATAATGCAAGCGTAGAAGAAGAAATGTGCTGTTTACCTGTGCAAAGAAAGAAACAACTAAAGAAAAATGTCTGAGGACTTCAGTGTTGAGGAAGAGCATGAGTTCTTTGCCGAGCTGAATGCGCACTTTCATCTGGTTTGGTCTGCCGCGGTTTCCGTAGACTCGTGAACGCGCTTTTAGGAAATCCTATACACTACTGTTTATGCTCTAAAAACATTCTAAATGACTTCGTTTCGAGTAAATTCTGGATGCTACCCACTCAGGACACTTGGAATACATTGGACGAGCAGTATGGAGGAATATTGACACGTTTTTTGTGGACTTTTATGGACCTTTCTGTCTCGGGCGCCATAGACCTCCATTATTTGAATGTCAGCAGACAGCAAGAAGCCTCCCAGATCTCCAGATGCATTTGAGATATCAAAAAAGTACTCCAGAGTGTTGTTCAGCATGGGGGTGAGTAGAAAATGAAGGCTAATCATGTTTTGGGTGTACTATTCCTTTAAGGGTGGCTTTGCATTTTCTTTCTTTTTATTCAAAAAAGGAAAACTCTTATCAGCTTCACTTGAACTTCCTTTGATGTCCTTCATTCAACTCCAGCCAATCATCTCAGGGGGCGGACCTTTTCCTAAGCCAATCATCTTTCATGATCCCCTTCATTTAGCTCCTAGCCTAGCTTCTCTCTCCTGTTCACCCCACCCCCCACTACTCTCGGTCCCACCCCCCCTCTGGTTTATTCCACTACCAGCGTCCAGGAAGATTACTCTAACCCTCTTCTAGGTTATTCATCCAAGCGAAGGTTGATTCACAGCATCGAAGTCTTCTACTGAGCGCAAAATAATTTATTTTATTTATGTCTTTATCTGCTTCTGTCTCCTTGAACCCCAGTGGGCCTCAGCAGATGGCCGCTCACACTGAGCCTGGTTCTGCTGGAAGTTTCTTCCTGTTGAACGGGAGTTTTTCCTCTCCACTGTCGCTACAAGCATGCTTAGGGTGAGGGATTGCTGAGTCGATTCAGCTTCCTCGATGGGAAGACGTTTTGCTTCCCATCCAGAAGGCTTTCCATTCCTGACATCTTGAATTGAAAAAGCTTCCTGGATGGGAAGCGAAACATCTTCAAACTTGGAAACAAAGTCCAGTGGATTGATTTTAATTTTCTTTTTTTGGATTTTCTAATTGCAGCTTCTCTCCAGGTTGAATTTTATTTCACAACATTGTTCTTTGCTCAGCAACAATAGTGGAAGAAAAGTCACCCCATATTCCAGGTATTGCATCACATGCAGTCACTCTGTGAGCAAAGGTTTCCCTAACCCTGACGCCACAGGGATCCTTTCATTATGAATATCGTGGCTCTTTATAAAGATCAGGATGTGATTTGGATCCATTTGGGGTTTGTTGTTTTTTTTATTATTACACATTTTTGGATCCAACCAAAGATTTCTAAGAATAAACAACAAACATCCGTCTATAACCCTTAAACTGCAGTAATATTTTTAGTCATGGTGTGTACTCAGCCAGAATTAGCCTAAAACGCCACAAACAGTCCCGTAGTCCAACCTTCATCCAGTAAACATCAGCTAAGTTCATATGAGGTAAATAAAGACAGGAGCTGTTGACTCATACAATCAGATTTCTTCCTCTGTCAGTTTTTAGCTCTTGGAGCAGAGACAGATCCAGAACTTGATGAAATATAAATATA